CAAAGTGTGGGCTTTGGCTTTGGACCCCTGGAAAAGGTTGGGCTGCATCTCTAAGGCTTCCATGCTTCCAGGCATCACTCACCACCACGCACATATTCTATGGAAAGCCACATGGTGATGGTGCCGGGGTGACTGTCCCGTAGGCAGACTGGACTCTAACTGGACATTCCCGGGTATTTTATGAGTACACGAGCACATTGTGACTCACTAAATCCTTAACTCTTCCTCCTTGTCCTGAGAGGTTGGCTGGGCACAGATAGTAGGTACACAGGTGCCTGTAGCCCAGTGCTTTGTTGGGCAAAGAGGTGATTAAAGGCCTGGCACTACTGATGACAGAGATCCTAGAGGAAGGGATGATAAGTCCACTGGGGGACTTGCTGTGGAAAGGAGACCCATGGAAAGACACAATGCCAGCCTTTGGAGAGCCCCTCTCTTAGCCATATGTTCCCCTGGTCAGCCCAAGAGCAAACCATATTAGTGGCCAGCCCTCTGCTATAGCGAACCTGGACTTGCCTCAGGGACCTCATTGCTTACCATCTAACACTGCCACAGTTGAAACATGCCCACAAAACAAATGTGTTTCTGTGTTCCCAAGTTGTCCCTTTGACCTATTCAGGACCCTCTCAACCACAAGGCCCTTTGGTTCTTGTTGCCCAGAACCCAGGTCTTCTGGGACAATTTCTATGCTGATGCTTTTACAGTGGTCACTAGCCCCACGTGGCTACTCAGCACTTGAAATGTGACCAGTGTGGGTGTTTTGTGTAACTTTAATCTTAATAAGTATGCAAATAGCCACTTGCCACCACTGTATTGGACATTGTAGCAGATGATAGAAGAGGAACCGCCTACTTAAGGTCATGAAGCCCCAGGATGCCAGAGCTGTAGAGGACATTGCCTCCAGCTCTTTCTTTTGCAATAGGCAAAGAAAACCATGCTGGACAAGGGATCATAATCAGTGGGAGTCCAGGCTCTTGCTCTCAGCTCTGTGCCAGGACAATGCAAACAGCTCCTGCTATGCAAATACCACCTCAGAGAAGTCCTGGGATCCTTAACCCCATGACAGCCAAGTCCAGATACAAAGGGCTTTGTTGGAATACTCAGTACCTTATACTTTATCAATACCTTATACTTTATGGTCAAAAGAGGGTTGAGAAGCTACAGTTAGATCCTGCTTTCTCATCCCCTAAGCTAGCCAGCAGGGGGAGGAAGGGTGAGTGAGAGAAAGGCCCTCAGCCTGTGATGTCAACCTCAGGCCTTGAGGTGGAAGACAGTAGTGGCCTGTGTGTGCACCTGACCCAAACCAAGGTGTTTGAAATTCTGTCCTTGTGCCAGCACCACTCACATGGGATTGAGGTAGAAGTCCCTAGGACCTGAGTCAGCTGGATTGGATTCTAGCATAATTTTTCATTGTTTTTCAGGATTCTTTCCTGCTTGATTCTTCACCAAGTAATCTTGGCCAAATGCCTTTCTGTCTCTATATATTTCTCGCATGTGAGGTAGGATTGTTGGATGTCTGAAGTCCTGTGTTAGGTGGTGATGACTTAGATTGCCCGTGTCAATGGTCACATGGGGCAGGGGCATATAGAGGATGCAGAGCAAGCTGAGAGGAGCTTCCCAGAGAACTCCATATAAGGTCAAATCGTTCAGCAACTCAGAGCCTGGGATCAGTGTTGGCTTCTATGAGCTGGAAGCATCTCTCTGACTGTCTTAGCTAGGGTTACTATTGCTGTGATGAAACACCATGACCAAAGCAACTTGGGGATGAAAGGACTTATTTGCTTACACTTACACATCACAGTTCACCAAAGGAAGTGAAGACAGGAACTCAAGCAGGCAGGAACCGGGAGGCAGGAGCTTCTGCAGAGGTCATGAAAGAGTGCTGCTTACTGGCTTGCTCCCTCTGGCTTTGTTATAGCACCTGGCCCCACCCACAATGGGCTGGGCTCTCCCACATCAGTCATTAATTAAGAAAATTTCCTACAGCCTTGCCTGTAGCCCCATCTTATGGAGGCATTTTCTTAATTGAGATTTCCTCATCTCAGATGACTTTAGCTTGTGTCAAGTTGACATAAAACTAGCCAATATATTTACCCACACTCTATTGCCATAGCCCTGCGGCTTTTTTCTCCCAATGGCCCTAGAGGAACATGGGGCCCATTTCTTTGCAAACTCCTCAACCAAGGTTGTTGCATGAACAAACTCTTTGTGAATCCTGTTGGCAGTAGATGGAAGGCACTGGCTTTACACACTAAAGTATGTGGGGGCTTCTTTTTTTTATAACATTCTCCCTTTTTCCCTCTCTGTCTCTCTGTCTTTCTCTGTGTCTCTGTGCTTGTGTCTGTTTGTCTCTGTCTCTGTCTGTGGGGGGGGGAGGCGGCCAAAGGACAACTTCAGTTATCATTCCTTAGGTATCAAGCCCCAGGGATCTGCTTGTCTCCATCCTCCTGGTTGCTGTCATGCCCAGCTTTTTTTTTTTTTTTTTTTTTTTTTTTTTTTAAATTGTGGGTTCTGGGGATCGAACTCAGGCTCTCACACTTGAGAAGCAAGCACTTCACCGACAAGGCTACATCTCTAGCCCCATTTGTCATGTGTCTTCTCTCTATGTGACCATGCAACTGTCTCTCCTTCTGCTCCAAACTCAAAAGAATCCACCGGAAGCAGGTTGTAACATGAAGTGTTTATTCTGTGTTTCCTCAAAGCAGGGAAGGGTGATTGCAGACAAGGGGACAAGCACTCATCGGGGAGCTGTGTCCAGTGTCCCTGTGTGGGGGCCAAGCCCAAACAAAATGGCCCTCAGGAGCGACAGCTTTGTCTTGGCCTGAAACTAGGGTCACTGGGTGACAGAGGGCCTTAGCGGGCCAAAGCAAACCCAATGCGATTGTTGTGCCGATCAAACTCTGTGTAGAACTTGCGGATGAAGCTGGCACCCAGGACCCAGACTGGCCCAGTGGGTGGTGGGATGTCTAGGCCATGGAGAGCCAACGTGCATTGGTCATCATTCCTGTAGGGATTCTGGCAAGAAGCAGGAGGCTTTCTCAATACCCATGACACAACCCCTTCTCACCACCTGATCCTGGCAACTGTCCTCAGTGTATGCCCCACCTCTCCTACATTCTTCCAGAGCCGACTCAGCCCAGCCTAAATTGCAGCCTTCCTGGGGCAGGCAGGCAGGCAGGCAGGCAGGCAGGCACTGTGGTAGTTAGAGGCAAACAGTGTGTCTATCCTGTATTCAAAGGCTTACTTAGCTTCTGACCCAGACCAAATCACTGAACTTCTCTAGGCCCCTGAGAATGCAAAGGACAGAGGACTAAAAGGAGGGCCACTCAGAAATGGAGAGAAGACCATCACTGACTCACAGCATGCATGAGTTTATTGGGATTTTTGTTGGTTTGGTTTGGTTTGGTTGTTTATTTACTTATTTTGATTTTTCAAGACAGCCCTGTAACAGCTCTGGCTGTCCTCGAACTCACTCTGAAGACCAGGCTGGCCTCAAGCTCATGGAGATCCACCTGCCTCTGCCTCTCAAGTGCTAGGATTAAAGGCGTGCACTCTCACTGCCCATCTGAATCTGGGTAGTTTTGAAAACTTTATTTCCCAGGTGCCTGTCTTAGAAGGTTTGGCCTGAGAGGTGAGGCATGCAGCCTGGGTCCTGGGATTGTTAAAAATTCTCCAGATGACACGAGCCGTATTCATGGATCACTGGCCTAGTTGGTGATTTGTACAGCACAACTTCTCCCATTTCAATGGCCCTTGCCCACCCTTCTCACTGAGCCTCACCTGTAGCACGTAGTCTGCACTGGTGAGTGTATAGGCTCTGCCTCCCAGGTGGAAGGAGATGTCGGGGAGGCTGGGTACCTGGCTACAGTCCACAACATACTGAGGAAATGAAGGAAGCTATTTTCAGGGTGGAAATCTCTGAGAAGTCCAGAGCCCTATGCCAGAGAGTCCTGGACACAGTCTCTGCTCACCCTCCACGGGAGACATGCCACATATTCAGGGAGTGTGAGGGGTGAAGAGGAAATAACTTGAAATGGCTTTGTTTGGGACTCAGTGGTGTCTGGATGGGTTGGAGACTGGAGCCAGGTGGTTATCCCCTCCCACCCTCCAAGCCGTTCTCTCCACCTGTTTCTTACATCATCTGTGCTCCTCTCCTTGGCTCCAAGGGTTTGCATGATCAACTTCAGGGAGCTCGTAGGACCCGATATATAGGATGCACCAGTGTCCACAACTACCACGCAGCCCTCCTCACACAGCAAGGTGGCAGACCCCACAGATACCCTGCGGAGACTACAGTTAGATGGGTAAACAGACAGACAAGAAGGCAGACAGGCAGAAGCCGCCAGGCACCCCCCCCCCAGCCTGTGTGTCTTTCCCAACTTAGGGTAGTGATAGGAAGCCATAGGAATGGTCTGGTGGTGCACGGGAGGAGAGCCGAGGCCCTGAGAGAAGGTACTGACTGTTCTTGTCATCAACGCATGATCTAGAGACTCCATCTCCTCTCCCTGGGCCCTCTCCTCCCCATCCTCAAATCCCCATCCCATGCCCCTATCCTGGACAGAGCTGGCAGAGAGCAGAAGATGTCTGTGCCTTATGGGGTGGCTGCCCCACCCGCCACCCCACCCCACCCCAGTGGCAACATCAGTTTGGAGGGTTGGGAAGGTGGTGATTGCTCACCCCTTCATTGCGATCTCCCAGGAGCCAGTCCTGCTGACGCTCACATAGTGAAAATTGCCTTGGTAATGCTGGGGGTCACTGCCCCCCAACACCACTTCTCCCCCCAGCAGGTGGGAGTCCCTAAAGGAAAGTTTAGCAGAAGTTAGAGACATACAACCTTTGAAACCTGAGGCTTCAGGGATGAGGGAAAGTTGAGAGGTGCAGGGTCAGGTAGAGGGAGGGTTTAGTGGGTAGATGGCAAGGCTGTAAGCTCTCATTACGAGCCATGGAGAATCGACACCTGCTCTCCCTTGCTGGCCCCTCCTCAAATGCAACAGAAGTATTTCTCGGGCTGTCTAGATGCCTCCAGAAAATCATTAGGTTGAAGGACACAGGGTAGATGCAAGTAAGTCCTAAATGTACGTGCCTTCCTCACGTGGGTGCAACAGGTGTGTGGGGCAGACTCCAGACTCCAGTGTAGGGAGAAGTCAAGCATCTAATGGGACTAGGCCTGACTGATGTGTGGGAGCCTGTGGGGGTGGTGGGTATGGTTCTGGGCAAGGATCCTGGGAGTGCTGCAGTTCAGGGCCCCAAAGGGCTCCTGCCTACTTCAGATTTCTGTTGAGGCCAAGAGGGACACAGAGAGAAGGCCTTCTTTGTGGACAAGGTTCAGCAACCCGGTTGTTTGGTTAATTTTCACCCTTCAGGCAACTGAGTCACCAAATGGTGAAACCACTCAGAGCTCAATGGACTCATGGTGGCTGGAGCCAGGCTCTCGCTCCCAGCCAAATCCGATTGCCCTTGCCTTCCTCTCCATGCCCAGGGTGCTACCTCAGCCCAGGGCTGCCTGGGGCTGCTTCCCAAGGTACTTACAAGTATGTGAAGGAGTTTCTCAGAATCCATGACATACGCATACGTATGTGCACATGTGTACAAGGGGTAGATGTGCACATGTTCTGTGCAAGAATCAGTTACTTATATGAATGTTACTTCTTCCTAGCCCAAGAGGGCCCCTGCTTACAGGCCTGCTTGCTGCCTGTTGCTGAGCCCCATGTATTTTAAGTCTTCCCATCAGCTCTTTTCCACCCACAGCATCCCTCAAGCATCCTCTAGCATTTAGAACACCCACCTCCCATTCTCTGCTTTCCTCTGGATCTCACCCCACACCCTGTGCCACACCCCCTTCCCTGTTGAATTTCCCAAGGCAGCCTACATTTCGTGACCTACATTTCCTGACACCCACTTCCACTCTTAACCACTCTTTGAAACATACTTCCCAGGACCACTGACTGCAGGAGCTTCTGACTGGTGGTAATTCACTCGAAACCTCCCTTTGTAAAGAAGTCTTCCTGTTTCCTCTGAGATTGCGCTAGATTCCACCCCTCCCTTCCACTTTCATCGCCGCCCTCTCCCCCCCCCCCCGTCTCTGTTCTTACCCATAATGATTTTACCTCCAGCTCAAACCATCTTTCTGAACCCAGAAATTGGCAGCAGATCCCAGCCATGCCGGGACCCTGACCACAGCTTCCCCAAGGCTGAACTGCACAGAATCCTGGCCTAGAATCGAGAAGCATCTGCGGCTTTCAGTACCAGGTGCCTGGTGTGCCCAGGGCATTCATAGTGCCGCATTTCTCCTCTCCCCTATTGGACAGTAAGCTCTAGGAGGATGGAGGGGAGGGATTGTCTTGTTCACTGTTCACCTCTGGAGCCTCCCATGGCACATGGCACAGAGTCAGTGGATCAATGAGAGAACAAATAAACAAAGGTACCAACAAAGGCGTGAAGCTGGCTGTGCCTGTGTGGCTGGTCCCTAAGGACTGAATGTTTGATTTCCATTCATTTTAATTGGCTAGTGTGTGGTTCTAGATATGGATTGAGGACCACCTCATCAGGAGCATGTAAATCCTGGCCTGGACTCTTACCATTCCTCCAGTTCTCCTCCCTTCCTCCCTGCCTTGGCCTTGGGATCAAAGGCCCACCTGCTGTAGTAGACAGAGAAGACTTCCTCCTTCAGCACCCGCTGGGACAGAATGTGGTCAAAGACAGGGGTCACCCCACCTACGGCCTGAGCAGGGAAGCCCATGCCCAGAACCCCATCAAACTTGGCCAGCATGAAGGGTATCAGGGGCAGCTCAGTGACCTCTCCAAATGTCTGTGTCACAATGATTCCACCCACCTGTGAGAAAAGAACCAGAGGAGATGGAAGTCACTTCTCAACCCTGGCTGGGGTTTGCTCTGGCTACCACACCAGGGCTCCCAGAGATACACAGGTTCTATACAGCAGTTAGGATAAGACTACGCCAGAAAGCCTGCACATACCCTTTCAACACATCTATGCTTGGAGCCAGAGAGATGGGATCGACTAGTGCTATAAAGGCTGAGAAAGAGGTCCCACCAGGCAGGTGATCTGCAACCCTCCCAGAGGCTAGTTTTTTTGTTTTTGTTTTTGTTTTTGCTAACCCCACCAGCTGGGGCTCAGGATTTCTCTATCATAACCAGGGCTTCCCCCACCCCCCAATTTCACAGGCTTGATGAGATGGAAGGGCTCACACTGATTCCCCCTGAGGCTCAACATGTGTCTTTTCCTACCCCTGGCACAGCGAGGCCAAGTGACTCTACAACAGGAAAGGCTTACACACTGGCCAAAAGAAAGCAAATCTTGCCCAGGCACAAAACCCTGGTCCCAAATCTCAAGGATACTCCAAGCCCGGTCTGAATTCATAAATTCAAGCTCGTCACAAGGTTGGAAACTGTGGAGTCTAGGCTTGCCCATACACAAGGTAGATGCAAAGCCTTGTCAAGCAGTGTCAGCCTATTTGCTCCACTGAAACTTTGGTCTTCATAGCTTCAGCTAGAAACTGCCAAGGAGGTGGTCCCTCAACTCCCCAGGCTCTAAGGTGGGGTGGGGTATACCTGCCCTGCTCCATGGGTGTAAGTAGGGCTGGTCCTACTTACAGTCACTATGTCCTGGCTGAGGAAACCTTTGACCTTCCCTGATCCATAGTGGATGGTGAATTCGGTCCCATTCTCCATGTAGCTGGAGGATTCCGAGGAGTCATAGAGGCTGTGAATCTCTAGCAGAGGGACACACACAGGCTCAGATCAGCATAAGAGTTATTGACTGAGGCAGGAGGCTCAGAAGTGGGGCAAGTAGTGGGCCTGGCTAGTGTGTCTGAAGACTTAGCTCAGGTGTATTCATGGGTGTGTGTCTGTGTGTGTGTGTGTGTGTGTGTGTGTGTGTGTGTGTGTGTGTGTGTGTGTGTGTTCCTGAGTCTCCAGCTTGGAAAAAATGTATACCAGTCAAGACTGGTTTTTCTTTTATGTGCTTATGCTTCTGAGGCATTCGTTTCAAACAAAGAATTCTATAGCCATTGCTAACATGATATAGTAGTACCAGAGATTCTGGGTACGGAGTAAGGGTTAGTGTGGGGGCATTGACTAAAGCTATCATTGGAATAGCCTCAGGGCTTGGAGTGGGTTTGCAACATTGTTCCTGACTGAATCCTAGGGACCATGGGAAATGGCCTTCCAGGTGACCAGGTACTTTCCTTAGTTGGCTTACTCACCTTGGTGGCCAATTCAGGAAGATGAGAGCCATTGCCTCTCTTTTCCTAGGATCAGTGGCATGGGGCTGAGGGAGAGCAGTTCATTGGAGGATGGGAAATTGAGCTAGGTACAGCAGGAAGGGCTTGGTGAGAGGCACACACTGACTCTTACCACACGCAGAGTAGAGAGGGCTGCACTTGGTGGAGGGTACCCAGAGGTTGGCTGAACCTGTGTCAAAGATGACTTTGAAGGTCTGGGGTGGTGTGCCAATGCCAATCTCGCCATAGTACTGGGTCTGCAGGAGTAGAAGGAAAGTGAGGGCCAAGGCACATGAGCCTTGGGTTTGGGGCCATGCCTGGTCCCCCTCTTTCTTGTCTCTTGTCCCCCTCTTTCTTGGCTCTTGGCTTTCCATTTTGCTGAAGCGAGGGGAGTCTGCATTATCCTCTCTTGTCCTGGAACATAGGAGACGCACTGAGGCGTGAAAGCCTAATAGAAGCAATTAAAATAGCTGGGCATGAAAGCACCCTGGAGGCAGAGGCTTGTAGAGCTCTGTGAGTTCAAGGTCAGTCTAGTCTACATAGTGAGTTCCAGGCCTGCCAGGGTTGCATAGTGAGACCATGTCTCAAAAACAAAAAACAAAACAAGCCAACAACAACAGCAAAACCCCAGACTTCTCAGCTGCAAAAAGGAGTTCTATAGACTATGCAGGTGCTCTTTGGCTCTCAGCCAAGCATGGTGTGGGAAGAGTGGTGCCTGCTCGTCCCAGAGAAAAGGAAATAGCAGCAGAGCTAGGCACTCACGTCCAAGTAGTTGGTGAGGATCACGGGGGAGGTGCCATTGCCAAAGGAGAACCTCTTGGTGAATTTGCCCCATTCGGCACTGAGTTTGGTCATGTCCACTCCGCGCTCTTTCAGGATTTCTCGGACAGAGGGCATTTTCTTGAGCAAGATCCTGCTCCGGGGTAGAGGCAGAAAAACAGAAGAGTCGTGTAGACCCCCAACATGGACAGAGCCCAGACTCCTTGCTTTTGGTGTGTCTATCACTAACCCCTCCCCCATGCTCCTAAGAATCTCTTCTTGTGCCCTGCGGTTTCTCAGGAGAATGTACAAGCCTCTTGAGTCACTTATTCTGGTACTAAATAATTCTCAAATTCCTCCTGTTGTCTCATTTTAATTAGATAAGGCAATTTGTCCGTCTGTCCATCCATCCATCATCATCATCATCATCATCATCATCATGAGTTGAACAGCACTGTGTCTCACTGTTCTGGATTGGGACATAAAGGTCATTACTGCCTCTTGACCTCTCTTTGATGGGGAGACAGTGCCATCTGGGACCTATAGGTGGCAGCAGACACCCACACCAGGCTGCAGGGACTTGGGGACCCCTGGGGTATCACTAAGCCAGGTGGTGTGTGCCCACTGAACCCAGCCAGATTCAGATAGGCCAGTGTCTATAGATTGCCTGTGTGCCTCACCTGGGGAATGATGTGTCTTGGGCCTGAATCCCTGGCCCTTCGTCTCATTATCAGTCATCCTTCAATCACATTTGACTGGCAGAATTAAAGAAGTGTATAAACAGTGACCCACTGAGCTGCTCCTGGCACGTGCCCTCATACAAACCACACAACAGCTAGCTCTCTGTTTTCCAGTTGAGACACTGAAGGCTCACAGGGATGAAGATGACTCAGAAATGCCAAACAGAGTCCATGCTGTCTGGCTGTCTTTCCTACCCAGAGCTGCCAGGCCCAGACAGTCATGAAAATTGTTTTGCAGTCAGAAGAAGGTACCTCAAACCCTGGGCCAGAGAACTCGGGAACAAGCTCACCTCAGTGGCAGTATGCTTTCCCAGACACAGAGCCCCTGTTTCTTCTCCAGTATGAGTCCCAACCTTCCTTCCTGGCACTCTGTGCCCTCACCCCCCTGCTTTGCCCATACTTCACACCTAACTGTGTAATCTCTAGCAGAAATGACTTATCGTACTACTCCCATTTACTCTTCACAAGTATTTTCCCACTTACTGTATTTGATCCCAGCCGTCCCAAAAGATAGGAGCTTTTGGTATCCCTATTCTACATAGGAGGAAAGGAAAAAGTATCCAAAGGTCTGTTCCCCACCATGTCCTGAAAAGGCCCATGCCTCACTGCACTTTGTGGCCCTTCCTCTTTGAGAAAACCCCTCTGCAGTGTGGGTTTTCTGCACGCCTTTAATTCCAGTGCTCAGGAGGCAGAGGAAGGCAGATCTCTGTGAGTTCGAGGCTAGCCTGGTCTACAGAGTGAGTTCCAGGACAGCCAGGACTGCACAGTGAAACCTTGTCTCAAAAACAACAACAAAAAGAAACCTCACTCCCACAGGCCTGGAAATGCACTGATGAATGTTTCATCTTCCTGCTTGGGGCTGCCAGGAGCCTTTCCTTGACCATACTCATGATAATCCATGCTGTCGTCATGGCTTCTTACACCATGCCCGGCATGACCCTCACAGCTTTAGGCAAATTATCTCATCAAATCTTCAAAGCAGCCCCAGGGAGCAGGCTCTGTTATGATCCTGTTTAAAATGGTGCAGTAAGACTTGGTGAAGTTAGCTTGCTGCTGGATCTGGCTTTGTCTGCTGCTAGTGAAGCAGAAAACTTAACCTGGAAAAATCTAGAGAACCTGCCTCCGACTTCTTCACCATTCTCCTTGCCAGGAGGGTTAACCTTCCCCGTGCTCTGTGCAGTCATTGCAGTGTGTACTTAGGGATCAGGAATGTGTGGCCCTCTGGATGAGAAGACAGCCCTTCAAAGACAACCCTTCCTAATTAGTTATGACTGTGTGGCACTGAGCAAGTCACTCAAATTCTCAGAGCAGGACTACACATCCATGACTGATTGGCCATAAGAACTGGGTGATCCCTTGAGCTGGGTGGCAGTGGCGCACGCCTTTAGTCCCAGCATTTAAGAGACAAGAGGATCTCTGTGAGTTCAAGGCCAGCCTGATCTACAGCGAGAGTTCCGGGACAGGCTCCAAAGCTACAGAGAAACCCTGTCTTGAAAAACAAAACAAACAAACAAACAAAAGAACTGCATGGCCCACATATCTGAAAGCTGAGAGCATTAGTAAAGATGCCAGTCCTCACACCCTACCATCCCTTCTCTGCCCAAGTTACCGTCCAAAGGCAGCTGTGTCTGTCGGGAGACTGAAGGCACAAGAGCTCCAGAGTATCAACAGGAGTCCCCAGAGAGGCATCCTCCTCCCGTCCATTGGTTCAGCCAAGGCTTTCTAAGGTCTATGTAGCCCCAGAGCCCCTGACCCTTCTTTTATACACACACGGGCTGTACTATAATTTATTACCTCCAGGGCCCATGGCAGGGCAGCCCTCATAAATCCTACCCCATGAGATCAAGCTAGGTGGGTGAGGGATAAGCAGGTCCTGGATGCAGAGCAGAGTGGCTGGGGTGGAGGGGTAGTGTTGGTGTGGGAAGTATGGCCGAGCCCAGTGTCATTAGAGTCCCTTCTTGGTCTGGCCCTGCCACCTCTAGCTTAGACAGAGGCTGATGAGGAGCTGTACTGCTCAGGCATGAGGTCAGGGTACAGACTGCATAGAACCTGGGCTTCTAAGTCCCAACCCAGACATTACCACTTATGCTCTTAAGGCTGCGTCCTCTGGATTAACCTTTGCGTTACCCCTGGCTGGCTCCTCCTAGGTTTTATCCCAGTCTTCCATCTTGATCATGGTGATTCCTTTTGACTGCTGCTTGGTGGGGAAAGTAACATCTCACTTAACCTTTGGCATCAGGGAGTGACATGGGGTGTTCCCTCCAGGGGTTGATGATGGTGGAGGGTAGGTAGTTGCCCGACTGAGGAAGTGCTTCAAGGGCAGCTGGTTTCCAGCTCACCCCCTTCTACTGGCGCTTCGCTCCCTTACACCTGTCTCTCTGCCTGCTGCATTCCTCCCAGTAGCCTCACAACAGCCTGGCAGAGCTACCTAAACTCAGCTGGCCCCTAGGTCCCCCAGGCTGGCAGTACTTATGCCCCCTAAGGTGCCCTCTCTGCCCTTCTCTCTGCTTATTTCTCAGGGACCACTTCATATTGCCATCAATTCCATGAGGTAGACCCTGACTAGCATGGGCCATCTTCTGCTGTGGCCTCTCACCGGTCCTCCTCCATGGTGTGACCTCCATCCCTTTGCGGCCAAGTTATGCGTGTGCCCCTGCCTCTTGGCCACATGTGGAGCTGGCTGCTTATCAAATGAGAGAACCAGTGACAGGCAATGAGCAGGGAAGAACCCAAGGTTCTATCAAGAACTTGCTGTGTGCATTGAGCCATTGAGATTAGATGCCCCTCTTCCTTTCTCTGGGTCCCCATGAAGCATCTGGGTGGACCCCAAGGCAGGCCTGCCTCAGATGCACCAGAATTTTAAATACGAGTCATGAGTGCTGTTCTGCCAGCTGTGCACTGCAAAGATGGTGAGAGGAGCTGGTGGTCTCTTTGCTAGCTGTACATTAAGGGATGTGTTTTCATCTCAGAGACAGTACCCTCTCAAATGTGAGGCCTTGTGAATTTTCAGATGTCTGGGGACAGGGAAGGACTTTTGAGAACTTTTCCCCCAAAGGAGAAGATGCCATGATAGATGAAATAAGCATTGATTCTATTCTGACACATGAGTATACAATAGCCAATCCCCAGAACTAAAATAATAAATGAATGAAAACAGTAAATAGACATACAGTTGGCTGATGAGTAGTATGTGGCAAGGACTCCCAGAGAGCTCCCTCAAGGAAATCACACTTGAGCTGTGACCTGATGGCTGCACAGGTATGAATAGTCAAAGAGGGAAAGAAAACAAGACGCAATAAAAGCACGTGCAAAGGCCCTGTAGAAAGAGGAAATGTGAAGAACAGCCCAGAAAAAAAGCCAGCGTTTTATAGGACAGAAAGATAGAGTGGAAGGAGATGCCCCGCTTCAGGGGGACAGAGGTGGATGCCTCTTACCAAATGCCTACGTGTAGCAGGCACTACTGTAGGTGCTTGATAAACTTAATGCCACCGTACCTCATGTGTGAGATAGTTCCATTAATAGATAGTTGAGGTAACTTGCCCAAAATCATAGTGACAGTGTGTGTCAGTCAACTATAAATTGGGCCCAGAACCCATTACAGAGCTGAGTAGAGTTCCAAACAATCTGGGTTCACCAAATCCAGGTTAAGCAGATGGAGGTTTATCTACAAAACAAATAAGGAGCCTCTGATGGTTAGGAAAGGAATGATGCAATCAACACATTTTGCAAAGGTGTTGGCTTTATGGACTAGCAAGGACTTGGGGTGGGTCCAGGATGGCATGACCCATGCCGGTGAAAAGGCCATGTTACTGGAGTGTGCCTGTGATGGCATGGGTGGGCTTGGAGGATTAGGAGGAATTTAGGCATCCAAATCTGCAAGGCCCAGCAGTACATGGGTGTAGAGACTGAAGGAGTGACAGATGGGATCTGGGCGATTGTGTTATGGGAAGAGAAGTTGAGGGAGACCCGGGGTTTGAGGGTCTCTTGGGTGTGGGCTTCCTTTAAGAAATTCTAGAGGTAGGGCTGTAGAGATGGGCTCAGAGGTTAAGAGCACAGGGTGCTTTTCCAGAGGCCCTGAGTTCAATTCCCAGCACCCACATGGTGGCTCACAACCCTCTATAATGAGATCCGGTGCCTTCTTCTGGTGTGCAGGCAAACATGCAGACAGAACACTGTCTACATAATAAATAAATAAATAAATCTTAGAGAAAGGAAGAAACCCCAGAGGTTATGGCAAATGACCTGGGGGAAAGGCTTATGCATCATTTGCCACAGACGTGAATGAAATGAGCTTAGAAGACAGGAAGCAAGACCAGAACTCCAGCTCCAATAGAACAGCATGGAGGAGCATTCTGCAGAAGAGACCACAATAGAGTGACCAGGTAGGTAATTAGTCTTGGTTTTTTCTTTTTGGTTTTTTGAGACAGGTTTTCTTTGTATAGCACTGGTGTCCTGAAAATCACTCTGTAGACCAGGCTGACCTTGAACTCAGAGATCCACCTACCTCAGTCTCCCCAGTGCTGGAATTAAAGGGGAGTGCCACCACACTATACGGTGACTTCAACAGTAACTCAAAATGACCAAGATAAGAAGGAGAGGGAGGCAATCCAGTAAAGCCACTGCTCTTCTCCGCTCCCCTCTTGATGAAAGAAAGAGGCAGGGCTACTAATGACCCCACACCTGGGTGGAGTCTGGGAGTGGGTGGCCTCTCCTCAAGAGCAGAAGGAAGGCAGGTGGGTGTGTGGGTTGGTGTGTTTGGTATTGGGACTGACTAATTGATTGACTTTCTTGCTCCAGACGCTGTACTCTTCTCCAGCCCGAGGTTCGAGGAAACATTGAAGGTCATGAAATGATTATTGGAGTGTAGAAGCCAAGCTTGGAAATCAGAGGATTGCAGAGGCTGGTGTTTGATGACTGCAGCGCAGGACTTCACAGGAGGCAGGCTTGCCCAGGTCCTACTCCCCTAGTGCCTAGAGCACACTGTCCTGTGAACACAATTGCTGTTAGCATCTTCACTGAGCAGCTGTGGCTACTTGCTAGCAACCATCAAGATTGAGCCTGTTGACGTTCCTTCCCAGAAAGGGGGGTGGGGTGGGGTGAGGTCATTAGACGCTCACCTGAGATTCCAGCTGCTCCTTCCTAGACTTCCCTTCCAGATGTAGGTGATTCAGCTGAGCTGCAGTAGTTGTGTGGTCTGTGGAGGAGCTGGGGTACAGAGACTGTGGGAAGGTTACCTGAAGGGGGCGCTCTGCCTATGCAGCTCTGGGGAAGTCATCATCTGTGCTGGGGTGAGGCCTTTTGATGATGGAGCTGCTTTGGGATTGATCACTTGTTGGTTCACCAGACTGGACTTCAATGGAGTCATACTTTGGCCCGTTGGTAGCTTATCTGGAGTGAGTAGCTGTTCATATCTCCTCAGGAAAAGATCATGCAACAGTTAACCCAGTTGCTTCGACACAGACACAGGAACTATGTGCCTGGTTTTACACTAGGGTTGGGCCAGTGATGAGGAACAAAGGAATGTATGGTCTTAGCAATAATAATAATAGTAATACAAAAAAGGACAAGTTTGAGGCTGAATCTCACTATATAGCCCAGTCAGTCTGGCCTCAAAGTCATGATCATTCTGTCTTAGTTTCTCAAGTACTAGGATTACAGGTATATGCGCCCACAACCAACACAAAGCATTATTGATTGGGGAACTGTGGGTCTAGGAAGGAAGTTAAGATAGGACAGGCTGAGTCAAACAAGACCATAAAAAGAGAAGAGTGAGCAGAGGTGGTGACAACAGCTCAGTCCCAGGCTGGGGTGGCCAGACGGAAGAATACGGGGCATTTGCTGGACTGAGGGTGGAGTGGTGTCATATGGTAAGTGCAGCCTTGGATGTGGGTAATGGCTGAGGTAGAACAGAGCTGAGGCTGTTAGGAATGGGATGCCCAAGAAGCTAGAGAATTCTACACCAAATGACCAACACACATTTAAAGGTGTAGTTTAAGATAGCCGTGAACTTGTGATTCTCTTGCCTCTGCTGTGTCAGCATTTCCTACTGGCATGTGCTATCATAGTCAGTCACCCAGGGAATTAGGAGGTCAGGGTACAGCCAGGTCACCATCTGCGTGGTTAGTGATGTCATTGGGGAGGATTACAGAAGGCACAGGGTGGAGGAAGTCTGCAAGTTGGGAGCCAAAGTCTGTAATAAATGACAGGGCAGGACCTACAAGTTCAGTAGTAACACAGTGAGTGAGTGGAGAGGGTCCAAGGAGAGAAGCAGGGCTAGAAGACCAAGGTCATATCCTGGTGTCTACGTCATCCTGGGAGGCAAATGGACCAGTGCCTCCAGGGACCCAAGAGGAACCAAGACCTAGAAGGACAAGCACTGTATCCTAATTCACAGACAATGGTTGCAGCCACCTAGATGGTGGGGCCCTGCCCCCAAATCTCACTCTCCACACCCCTGAGGCCCTGCTGAGATAGAGTTCCTCATGAGTCTCAGTGGAGTAACTTAAAACTGATGATGTCTTTTTTGCATCATGGCTGATATCTGTCATGGGTGGAAAGAGGGGTTAACCCACCTACCCTTTTTCTCCCTCTGCTCTTCCCAAGCCCTAGAGGAGAGGGAGCAAGCACAAGGAGAGAATAAATGGGAAGGGGCCATGGGTACTGGTGACCAACAGAGCACAGATCCCACCAGTCAGCTTGATTGG